ACAACAGAGCAATATCTGATCCACCACGGATCATGGAGACAGTGCAGGACCAGGCAGCTTTCCCTTCAGTTGTGCATGGGGTTGCCATGAGTGTGTGTGTGTGTGTGTTCGGGGGAGCAGACTGGAGGGCGCATCTAATAACAATAACAACAACAGGGAGGATTAAGAAACTAAATATGAAGAAAGCACTTGGTGAAATGCCTTAAATATGCAAAATGAGGAATAAATGTGTGGAAGGTTGAAGTGGAAGGCCGAGGGGGTCCCTCACTGAAAATTATATGACTTTAACAGACTCTTAGGAGCTCTGGTGGCTAGTGCCTAAAGCATTTGACTGCTAACCAGAAGGTTGGCGGTTCAAACCCACCAGCCACTCCTCGGAAGGCAGGTTGGGCAATCTACTTCCACAGAGCCTCGGAAACCCAAGGAGAGGTCGCTATGAGTCGAAGATGACTGGAGGGCACATAACAACAACAGACTAGCAGGCATGATTAAAGTAGACATTGACCTAAGGACTAACTTGCTATTTTTTCCTACCTTTTGCTTTCTCTTAACGGAATAACCAACCTCTTTACGGTTGCTGAGTTTTTTTTTTTTGTTGTTGTTGTTATATGCCGTTGAGTGGGCCCCGACTCAGCAACCCCTCCTTGGGTTTCTGAGGCCGTATCACTAGGGAAGTAGATTGCCCAACCTTCCTTCCGAGGAGTGACTGGTGGGTTTGAACCGCCAGCCTTCTGGTTAGCAGTCAAGTGCCTTAGGCACTACGCTATCAGAGCTCCTTTAGATTTGTTATTTTCAATTACATATTCTTCTAAGCATAACCCTCTCCCATGACTGGCTTGGGCTGAGAACCGTAACATATGAAGCAAGACGACCCTGGGAAGAGGGAAGCTGAGTCTGGAGTAACCAGGGAACAGAAGAACAAAGACATTCCTGGCAGTCCAAGGGTCTTCAACCCCCTTCCCATTTCCCTCTATAATCATGTTTACCCCTTTGCTCAGGAAGACAGACATTTTAGAGAAGTGATTCTGTCTCCTTGGATGTTGATACTCAGTAAATCTTTTGCTTCTCTTCAACCTCTTGTGATCATTGGGTCTTCACCACAGGGAGTAAGGACCTTATTTTCCCACAACAAATGTTTTCTCCTTATCATTCCCTTTCGTTCTCTCCTCCACCGCTTCCCACGCCCCTTTCTTCCGCCCTCGGCCTCACTCCTCTGCGTCCGTTTTCATTCCGGGCTTTTAGAACAACAACTGGCTCCAACCGGAAGCCTGAGCTCAGTCCACTCCAGACTCTGGGCCCGAATGCTGACATCCGGAGCCCGGCAACCCGGCCACCGCACCACTTTCGTGGCCTCTTCCCGCCTCCGCCCGGCGCCCGGGACCCGGTAACGCGCGCCTGGCCCGCCCCTCAAGCCTGGGGAGGCAGAACGCGGCGGCCCTTTGGGCGGATCCCTGAGTGAGGTTTGGGATTCCGCCGCCCGCTCTTCGCGGTGACTGCCCCACGCGAGCGGGCGCTGGAGCGGCTGAGTCTTCCAGTGCGCCCGCCGCCCCGGCTCCCCTCCCACCGTAGTCGGGCTTCCCCTGGGCAATTGATAGCGGTATTTTTTCGCTCTTGAAAATTTTGGTCTCCTCCTGGCGGCCTCACTCCACCCTCTCAGCGTGGCTGGGTCGGCCTCCTAATCCCTTTCTGTAACCTTTAGTTTTGCCACTCCGACTTGGAGGAATTTGGGAGGGTGTTTCCAATGCTTTGAACCTTCTGCAATTTCTCAGATTCTCAGAGAACCCTGAAACAGACAAGTCTGCGGTGTTCCCAGAGCCAAGGACTCGAGCCTTAGGCTCCTGGGAACCCCATGAAAGTTAAGATCCCCAATTCCTTGGCCCAGGGCATGGCCTGAGGACCCATGCCCAGTGACCTTAGGGAGGCAGGGCTTTCCGGCTGGAGGGGCACAGTCTGGATCAGTGACCAGAGTTCGGTTGCTGGGGTCTAAGACTCCGTCCTGCCCTACTCTACTCTTTGGCAGAAAGTCTCTGTACCGCCCCCAGCCACACTGAAGAACTGTTTCCAGGTCTTGGAACAGTCTCTTGTTGCCCTTATTTTTCTGACCTGTCTCCATTCTGGAATAGGGTCCAAGAGAGTCACAAAGACAAGTTATAAAATCTTATAGCCGAGAGATCACTTAGTCCTGCTACCTTACTACAGCTCAGCAAAAGTGCTTGATACTCTGTGACCTTCACCACCTCCGCTGGCAGCTAGTTCTGTTTCTGGGCCTCTCTCTATTTAGTTTGGCTTCCCTGAGTTGTGTAAACAGTTGAGCACTTGGCCACTAACCAAAAAGATTGTCAGTTCAAGTCCATCTGAGACACCTTGGAAGAGAGAGGCCTAGTGATCTACTGTCAAAAATTCAGCCATTGAAAACCCTTGTGAAGTAGTTCTACTCTGACACATGTTGGGGGTACCTTGAGTTGAAGTCAGCTGGAGGGCAACTGATTTTTTTTGTTTTGTTTTCCATTTGATACTTGGGTGGCACAGTGGTTAAGTGCTTGGCTGCTAAAAGAGAGGTCAGCGGTTCAAACCCACCAGGGACTCCCTGGGAGAAAGATGTGACAATCTGTTTCTGCAGAGATTATAGCCTTGAAAACCCTATAGGGCAGTTCTACTCTGTCCTGTAGGATCACTGTAAGTAGGAATTGACTCAATGGCAGTAGGTTTTTTTTTTTTTTTTTTTTTTTGGTTTGTCCAATTAACCTGAAAGTACTGCCTTTTGGGGTCATAAGATCAGAGGCAGTTCTTCCCTTGTGACAGACAGTGGGTCTGTGAGCTCATACTCCAGTTCCTTACACTGACATGGTGCAGAGACTGTGGCAGCTTTCTTCTTTGCTCCTGGGTCAGTTTATGCACATCCTCCTTACAGTGTGGTGCCCAGGATAGAGCCCAGTACCCCAGGTGTGATATGGTCTGTCCACCTAGGGAAGAACACTATATAACTTAATTATTATTATTATTTTGTTTGCCGTTTCTTATAGCCCTGCCTGCTCCTGTCCTCACACATGCAGAGACTTCTTTGGCAGCTCAGTTCTCTCTTTTTTTTTTTTCTTAGTCTGTTCCTGTGAAGATCCAGCCTATTATTCCAATGTCTTGGGCAGTTTGTATTGCCTCTGACTTTTACCACAGAGTTACAGAAATGCCTAGTTTTATTGAGGGCACTACCCCACCCTCACCTCCATTTCCATTCTGTTTTGTGAAACATTATGCACTTTCATTTCTTTAATATGGGCCCTTATGCCCTTATGGCAGCTGGCTTTTGGGAGCCTAACTGATGTGGACGTACCCTAGGGGACCCCTTCCCACCACCAGAGAGCTCTGAGTCCACACAGGACCAACTGGCCCCAGCTAATGAGGCATTGATTGTTCAGTGGTGGGATTCTTGGTGGTATAGTGCCTAAGGCATTTGACTGCTAACCAGAAGGCTGGCGGTAAGGAAGACTGAGCAGTCTCCTTCCATAAAGATTTACCACCTCGGAAACCCAAAGAGGGTTGCTATTAGTCAGAATCGACTCAATGGCAGTGAGTTTTGTGTTTTGGTTTTAGGCAGGAGACCTGGATTTGAGTCCCAGCCAGTGCACCTCATGTGGCCACCACGTGTTTGTTGGTAGAGGCTTGCATGTTGCTGTGATGCTGAACAGGTTTTAGAAAAGCTTCCAGATTAAAATGGACTAGAAAGAAAGACCTGGTAATCTACTTTTGAAAATCAGCTGGGAAAATCCTGTGGATCACAAAGGACGATCCACAGTCTATCATGGGGATGGCACAGGACCGGGTAGCCCTTCCTTCCATTGTGCATGGGGCCATCGTAGGTTGGGGGCCAACTCTAGAACAACTAACAACAGGCACTATTAAAGGCAGTCTGTCAGCCCTTCTAATTAATTCTTCTAGGATGAGGCTGAGAGGTAGGGCATAACCAACAGGCTCATTTTGCTTGGGATTGAGGTGTTCACTGGGATGTGAGGCTTTCAGTTTTAAAACCAGGAAAGCTGGTCACCGTATTTTGTGCCCTGGCTGCACATTAGAACATCTGAAACCCCTTGCTGTCGAGTTAATTCCTACTGATAGCAACCCTATAGAACTTTCTCAGAGGGTTTCCAAGGCTATATAATCTTTACAGAAGCATTGGCTCATGGATTCAAACCGCTAGCTTTTCAGTTAACAGCTGAGTGCTTAACCACTGTGCCACCAGAGCATCTTAGAATTACCTGAGGAGCATCTAATTTAGATACCCTAATTTTAAAAAAGCCAGATAGGGTCCCAGGTGTAGATATATATAGTTTTTAAGCTCCCAGGTTGCTTTCAACAAATTACTAGGAGCTCTGGTAGCATAGTGCCTAAGGCACTTGACTGCTAACCAGAAGGCTGGCGGTTTCAAACCCACCAGCCACTCCTCGGAAGGAAGGTTGGGCAATCCTACTTCCGTAGTGATACTGCCTCGGAAACCCAAGGAGGGGTCGCTATGAGTCGGGGCCAACTCGACGGCACATAACAACAACAACAACAACAACATAGCTCAAAAGAGATTGACTCAATTTACGCCTAATTTTATAGATTGCATCCTGCCTCATTAACATAACTGCTTCTAATCCTGCCTCATTAACATCATAGAGGTGAGGATTTTTGACACATAGGATAATAACATCAGATCACAAAATGGAGGCTAATTACATAATACTAGAATCATGGCCCAGCCAAGTTGACACATATTTGGGGGGACACAATTCAGTCCATAACAGGGGGTCATGATTTGCATAGCCACAGATGAAAGCTGGCATGAGACACCAGACAGGACTCCACTCATTCAGTCTGGGGTATCATGAATCATGCCACCTGGACTCTATCAGCTGCTGCCTCAGAGAATGGTGGTACAATGACTAGCTGAAGAGGCTGTGCTTCAGCATCACCCTGTGGGGTGGTGGTAACTGGAACCTTTGGGACTGTCTCCTCTGCAGGCCTCCAAGACTATGTGGTACATCAGCACCCGGGGAATGGCCCCTCGGGTGGACTTTGAGGGTGCCCTCTTCTCTGGCTATGCACCTGATGGGGGCCTCTTCATGCCTGAGGAGCTCCCACAGCTGGGCAGAGAGAGCCTGCGTAAGTGGAGCAAGCTCTCCTACCCTGACCTGGTGAAAGAGCTGTGCACCCTCTTCATTGGCCCAAAGCTCATCGCAAGAGATGACTTACATGGTGAGCTCCCTGTCCCTGTCAGCCTAGCCTCCCATAGACACCCAGCTGGTAGGACAGCTCTTGTCTCATGCCACAAATACTGAGGGTTTTTTTTCCAGAGTCTACACAATCCCAGGGAGCTCTGGTAGCATAGTGGCTAAGACACTTGCCTGCTAACCAGATGGCTGGCCGTTCAAACCCACCAGCCACTCCTCGGAAGGAAGGTTGGGCAATCCTACTTCCGTAGTGATACTGCCTCGGAAACCCAAGGAGGGGTCGCTATGAGTCGGGGCCGACTCAACAGCACATAACAACAGCAACACAATCCCAAAATTGGAAATTTCCCTAGAGTCCATCAATTCCAGTTCCTCGCTCTGTGAGATGAATGCCAAAATGATTTGCAGAGAAATTTTTTTCCTTTAATTTACTTTTTAAAAAATCTTTTCAAGACTAGGAATTTCACATTTGTCCTGAGTGGCTTGAATGTTGGAACATTTCCTTCCTGGATATAAACTACCCATACCCCTTGATTGGTTTTGTTTGTTTATTTGTTTTCTTGAATAGTAATTCCAAAATGGACATTGAGAGTGCCCCGAACTGTAATGTTCTTATGGATCCCCTAAGGATCTCATTAAAAAGCAGATTTTGATTCAGCAGACCTGGAAGGAGACCTGAGAATTCTGCATTTCTGTAAAGTGTCTAAGCGGTTCATGGGTGGTGCAAGCATGCTGGAGGTTTGGTTGGAGAGTCAAGGCCACCCAGAGACATCTTGGAAGAAGGGCTGGTGCTCTGTTTCCCAAAAGTCAGCCATTGAAAACCTTACAGAGCACAGTTCTACTCTGATACACATGAAGTCACCATGAGTTGGAGTTGATGTAATAGCAACCTTTTTTTTTTTTCTAAATCAAGTGTCCAGGTCCTAGCGCTGCTGGTCCATGGATCACACTTTAAGTAGCACAGATAAAATCTTTAACATAATGATGGAAGTTTTGGGCTGGGGAAGAGAAGAGAACCTCTCAAAATGTGGTCCAATTGCCAGCAGTGATTGCATGGCCTAGGTATTTATTAGAAATCCCAGGCCCTCTCAGAGCAGCTGACCCAGAACCTTCATTTTAACAAGATCCTGGGTAATAGTTTGTCCATTGAATTGAGAGGCACTGCTGTAGACTACCCTGACTTAAGTAGGATTGTGTATCCAAACCAAGATTCTGGCATCACCAGTGTGAGATTTAGTAACACAACAAACACATTAAGATGTTTCCTGTCTTTAGGAAGGAAATAGAGATGAGACATTGATTTGTTTGTTTTATAATTGTTCGATTTATTTAGACTACATGCTCATAAAAATTGAAAAGTAAAGCAATACATAAAAGTGAAAAATTAAGTCTTACAGCTCCCTGTGGGAATCACTGTGAAAATCTATACGTGATTTGGTGAGTGCCTTTCTGGCTTTTATCTAGGATTATGCATTATGTAAGTAGTCATTTAAGATGAAAATATCTAGTCTTTTTATCTGATAGTAGAGGATAGAATGAGAGAAAGATGTGGCAGTCTATTTCCATAAAGATTACAGCCTTGGAAACTATGGGGCCATTCTACCCTGTCCTGTAGGGTTACTATGAATCAGAAAACTACATGATGGCAATGGAAGGGGATAGAAACTGTAAAACTTTTAAACATAAGTGACTGAGGGAGAACTCGAGGGGAGAGATAATGCCCTTCATCTGCTGTACACTCCCCACCTCACAGATCTGATTGACCAAGCCTTCAGCAGATTCCGCCACCAAGAGGTAGTCCATCTGTCCAGGTTGAAGAATGGGCTGAACGTGTTGGAGCTCTGGCATGGGGTCACGTATGCATTTAAAGACCTGTCCCTGTGCTGCACAGGACAATTCCTACAGTACTTTCTGGAGAAGAAGGAGAAGCATGTCACTGTGGTTGTAGGTGGGTATTGTCAATGTGCGTGCTGGAGTGCCCTGGTGCCCGGATTTGTACATGTCTGCTTATGGCCTGTCTTCCATGATTTCTCTCTCTAGAAAAGCAGGATTCTTAACCTTTTCTTGTGCCATTGATCCCTTTTATGGTCTGGTGGAGGCTAAATTATTTGTAGAATAATATTTAAAAATACATAAAATACATAAGATTATGTAGTACCAAATTCACAGACACTTTGAATTCTATCCAAAGATCTCTTTCTCTCTTTTTAATCTTTTTATTCTGTTTTGAGTGAAAGACTAAAGGGCAAGTTGGTTTTCCTTTCAACTGCTCATACACATTTTGTTTCATGACATTGAATGCAGTCCTCACAATGTAACAGGACTCGTCCCACTTCCTCCCTGTAGTTACCTTTCCCTTTGTTCTTCTTTCCTATTTATTCCTGCTTTCTGAGTTTCATCCCTGGGCAGACGCTGTACTTTTGATCTCTTATGGTTGGTTGTTCTGAGGAGTACATACTTCTCTTATGTTATTGTTCACCTCATAGGCCTGTCTTTTGTTTGGCTGAAAGTTAAGCCACAGGAGTGAGTTCAGTTCTAGTCTTTGAAAGGTGACTAGGAGCCATAGTCTCAGGGGTTTCACCAATCTTTAGCAGACCCGTAAGCCTAGTCTTTTTTGTGATTTTAAGTTTTGTTCCACATTTTCCTTCCACTCGATTCAGGATCTCCTGTTATGATCCCTTTGACAGTGGTCAGCAGTGGTCCAGGGCACTATCTAGTTCTTCTAGTTTCAGGGTCATGGAGGCTGAGGCTGAGGTTTGCATGGTCTACTGGTCCCTTGGACTAATTGTTTCCATGGATCTCTTAGAGGTTCAAGTACTGGTTTTCTATCCTCAAAGTATATGAAAGCAGATGTTGCCACATTTGGCAATAATGCTTAGGGGCCTCCCCCCCACCTTCCATCTTCCTTGGTCTTGTTCTAAAAGGGAAGGTTTTCCTTTCTTCCCATCCAGGAACTTCTGGGGACACAGGCAGTGCTGCCATTGAGAGTGTTCAAGGGGCAAAGAATGTGGACATCATCGTTTTACTGCCCAAGGGTCACTGCTCAAAGATTCAGGAGCTCCAGATGACAACAGTGCTGAAAGAGAATGTCCATGTGTTTGGCGGTGAGTGCTAGAGCAGAGGCTCTAGAGTCAGTGGGGCCCTACCTTGATTGGCTATTTTGAAAGATGGTGTAAGATGAAACAGGAACCACTGCACGATTGACCAAATACTTTCCTTCTTCCTCTTACTTGCTCCCACCTTTTCTTCATCAGTCCTATTTGAGGTTGGCATATGCTTTGGCTTAGCACTGGGCAGGCTTCTGGCGACACAGTCTCATAAATGACTGAATGTAACAAGTGCATAAACCAATAATGATAGTAAAAAATGGAAGTGTAAGTTTAAAACCAAAGAGTGCCTTCTCCGTGCAGGTTCAGCCTACTGGTGCCATATATATAAGCAGCCACCAAGTGCCAGAACCTGAGCCAATTGACTTGGGTTTTGTCCTAAGGGACTGAGATTTAGAAGGGACCAAGATGTTAAATAATTATTTTAGGAGAACATTTCCTTACACATCAATAGCTCACACCTTCCCTTACAGTGCATAAGCAACTAGCCTCTGTGCTTGATTAGCAGGTCTAAGTGTATAAAATGGGAAGGTACTCAGTGGCTCCTATTGCTTGCGACATCCCTTCCTGAGCCACATCACAGATTGCAGCATTTTGTGCTTGGAGAAAGGTGAGACCCATCTCCTTTTAGACCCTAGTCATCCTATGCTGAATAGATTTCATCATTGTGGAGATAGAGAATGGAGAAAGATGGGGCAAGTATGACTGCAGCCATACATTTTTATTTCCCTCTCTCATACCCTGTTGGACCCCAGGTAGCTCCAAGATGGGGATGGGAATATGAGCAGTATTTGTGGAGGCTTTATACACTGTGATTTTGGGCAGCTGTCAGATGACCTGGGTGGTCACCTGGTAGGAGAGCAATGTGGTGGCAGAAGATATTTCCTCTGCAACTGGCCTGGCCTCCTGCTATAATCACAAGGGTAGAGGGTGTATTTATATAACACCAAAAAGACAATTTTGAAAACAAGCCTTTCCAGTGAGAGTGGCATGAATATCCTTTCTCTATTCATTCGAGGATCTTCCTTTTTTTCGCTTACCCTCTATTTTACCAAGCATGATACCTTTTGATGAGACCCTCAATAAAATGGATTAACACAGTGGCTGCAGCAATAGGGTCAAGGATGGCAAAGATTGTAAGGATGGAGCCGGACTGTGCGATGTTTCATTCTGTTGTACCAACTAGATGCACTGAACAACATTTGTCCAAGAGCAAGCAAAAATCCCCTCTGCTCGTTTCTTTGCCACGTGCATGAAAATCCCAGCAAACACCTCAGTTATGGTCATCACCTATTTTACTGCATTCTTCTGAAGTTACTGCAAGATTTTAATGCTCAGAATTCAGTCTCCTGAGGGTACCTGATACCTTAGACACCATGAATCTAAGGCTATCTTTTCCTAGAATCAAAGCAGAGAATAGTTTTTTGTACCTCTGTCCTGCCATTTACATCCTTCTTATCTTCTACACAGCTTTGGGAAGGCTTTTACCTATGGACATGTATGGAAACTCCACTTCTGACCTTTGGGGTGGAGAATGGTGCCTATCTTTAAACTGGTGGCAAAACTGTGGCTGATTATCAGTGCAGTATGCCAGAAATGTGTTATTGGTAGAGCTAAAGGGGTATTTCTGTTTGCAAATGTTTTGAGTTTCAAGAAAATAAGGAAACAAATTTTAAAGAAATTAATCTTTATTTATAAATAGCACTGTTGAAGTTCTGGAGCTCTGGTGGCATAGTGGTTAAATAATTTCGCTGCTAACCAAAAGGTCAGAGATTTGAACTCACCAACTGCTCCATGGGAGAAAGATGAGGCAATCTGCTTCCATAAAGATTTACAACCTTGGAAACCCTATAGGGCAGTTCTACTCTGCCAGAAAAGGGTCAGAATCGACTTGATGGCAATGGGTTTGGTTTTTGGTTTGGTTGAAATTCTTCTTTTCCTTTCTCGAATCTGGTTTGACTTTAAGGAGGACATACCTTGGTTCAGGAGCTAACAGTGAGTGGGTATTTTCCCATAGACTGGTGAACTCAGGTGGTATGATGGACCACATGGATTGTTGTATGTTAAACACGGATAGGAATTTATAAAGTCATTAATTTCTATATAAATTGTATACTTGATTCTTTTTAAGCACAGTATAATCAGTAATCACTAGGTATTCACTGATTATATTGTTTTGGAGACTTTTGGCAGAAAGTCACAGAAAATACAACTCAGATCCGCTTAAACAAGATTATTTTTTGATTTATAAGACTGGAAGTCCAGCAGTGGTGTGGGCTCCAGATTGGTTGATTCAGAGATTCAACAATGCCTCAAGGACTCAGATTCTTTCCATTCTCTGCTCTGCTTTCCCCAATTCTAAGGTTCCTTCCCTGTAGTCATGTGATGGTTACTCAAAGTAACTAGGTCTCTCTGTTCTCATGGCTCTCTCTTAAAAGTAATAAAGCAGTGAATCTCTTTTTCTTGAACCCCAGCAAATATCCCCTTGTGTCTCATTGCCTGAATTTAGCAATAACTCCACAGGAATGCTAGACACTGATTGGCTTGGTCCTGAGTCCCTGAATCAGGAACTGGCCAAAGGAATGGGATCACTGTGACTGGTTTAGGCCATTAAGGCCTATGTTCAGTCCCCCAACATCATGACCACTGCACAGTAGTGATGCTGGAATGGATAACAACCTTAATGCCTACTTTAGTACTTCTCCCAATAAGTTTCATTTCTCTCTCCTCCAAGATTGGTTCCAATGGGGAAATAGGTATCAGGTAAGAGATCTGTATTGGCTGGAATGGGATTGGGGAATGCAACTTGGACCAGTGACCATATGAATTTCTTAATAATTCACTCATAAATGAAACTGGTATACACACCCAACTTCAGGAGGAGAATTTCTGCCCATATAGGTAAGCTTTAACTTAAGAAGAGAGGACAGAATAGTCATCTGTGTGATCTACATGAAGGAAGAAGTGCAAGGCACATGGAAAAAGTGACTATTTCCACCCCCAGAGGACTGTGGGATAAAGGATCAGCTCTCACCATCTCAGTCAGATAAACCATCATTCCTCCTTTCCCTACTCATAGAGGAAGAGGGAAAATGGGCATGGAATGCAAAGAATTCTTTTCCCAATATTTCTAGAAGATTGATACTTTATATCTTCTTTTATATAATGGTATAAGCAGTGGGGAAGATTCTCACTATATTTTCTCTTGTCTCTAAATGAGGCTAGATAATTGGTGGCATGCCAGCATGAGCCATGGTTTCTATCCTTGAGTTCAAGATTGAGTCTAGAAAGTAAGGCAAGACAGGAGAAGGAAAAGACACCAAGGGGAGCAAAGGTCCAAACAGGATGGGCTTAGCTGGGAGGGCTTTTCCAGGGAAATGCTGACCACTTGTGATAGCTGTCCTTTCCTCTCGCCCCTAACAGTGGAGGGAAACAGTGACGAACTCGATGAGCCAATCAAGGCCGTGTTTGCTGATGTGGGTTTTGTCAAAGAACACAATCTGATGAGCCTTAACTCAATCAATTGGTCCCGGGTCCTCGTGCAGATGGCCCACCACTTCTTTGCCTACTTCCGTTGTGCACCCTCCATGGACATGGATCCCCTGCCCTCCGTGGAGGTAGTTGTGCCGACTGGGGCTGCCGGTAACCTTGCAGGTAAGGAGATCCCAGGGCTGAAATGGACTTTCAAGAGAAGCACATGTAGCTCCAGTCCTTCCTCCTTCCAGCTTTGGCTGAAACTGTGAGGAGAAAGGTGGAGACATTGTTCCGAAGGTGGTAGGAGTCTTCTCAGAATAAACTCTCAAAATACTTTCCCCCTAACTTCCTGAGGGGAATCCCAGGCTCATTCTGCAGGTGGAGGAGGTAACTTTGATGTGTTTGGTGCCCTGGCCTGCTGTCCTTATCTGCTCAGCATAGTGTGAAGGGATGAGGTCAGGGTCTAGCCACTATGCCCGGCTGGCAGTGCCCTCCTCTGCTGACTCAGACTTCATTGCCAGCCTTTGCCAGTTGCCTGATGTGAGGGCAAGTGTTTTACCTGGCACAATCTATTCCCACTCCTGAAGACATTATCCAGACACTGTGGTGAGGTGGAGCAAGTGTGGACTTAGGGTTCTGGCCCCAGTTTTGCAATTTACTGACTGAATGGCTGTGAGGTGGTCCCTTGGACTCAGTTCCTTATCTATACAAGGGATATTGGATTGCTTATCATATCTCTCAGGACCGCTGGGAGAAGCCAATATGATGTTCTATGTGTATATGAACTTTGTAAGGGTAAAGTGCTGTACAGCCACATGGCATTAAAATAATTTTCTTGAATAATAATTAACATTTACTGAGCCTGCCTGTGTGTCATGCAAGGTCCCTGGGTGAAGCAAATGGTTTGCCCTTGTCTATTAACCAAAATGTTGGCAGTTCAAACCCACTTAATGGTGCCACAGAAGGAAGCCCCTGACAATCTGCTTCTATAGTGATTGCAGGCAAGAAAACTCTATAGAGCACAGTTCTAGTCTGTAACACACGAGGTAACCATGAGTTGGACTCAGCTTGATGACAATAGGAGAATGTGTCATTCATTGTTCTAAGTGCTTTTAGTGTATTAACTCATTTAATCCTCACATGATTCTATGTGGAGGACAGTATTATTAATTCCATTTTACAGTGAGGAAGCTGAGGCACAGAGAAGATAGTTGATCTGTCCCTGGTTACACAGCTGGTCAGTGGCAGAGCCAAGATCACAACCCAGCAGTCTGCTTCCTAGTGGATATTACTGTTGATCATTTGGTTAGTGACATGATGGTGTGGTTGAGACCACGAAAGCATCTCAGTGGTTAGGAAGCTTCCTCACTTCTTCTGCTAACAGAATGATGGAAAGAACTATGGGCTAGGAGTTGGGCAGGGACTGACCAGCCTTGTTTACCACTCCAGGGCACCCACTGTTGTCCTTGTTTGCATTGTCCTCTGGTGAGTGGTACCACCTGAAGTTGTGCAGCCGGCAGCCCTCTGCATCGAGCACCTACCACAGCACCTAGCATAAAATAAACACATGCTGACTGTTTGCTGACAGGGCTTCTATCTAGCCCTGTTCTGTCAGGAACCAGCAGTTTGACCTTATGCCCTGGGCCCTCCTGAGCTACCTGGGCCTCTCCTCTGTCGTGTAGGGATTCTGTGATGCTTTCATGAGGATCAAATGCAATAAGAATTACCAAAATATTTTGCAAAATTAAAAGTGATGTTGGCCTGGGGGAACAGGACCATAGTCTCAGGGGACATCAAGGTCAGTTGGCATAACATAGTCCGTAAAGAATCCTACTTTGGTGAGTACCAATGGAGATCTTAAAAGGTTGTGAGCAGTAATCTAAAGTGTAACTATTGGTCTCTCCCCATCTTAAGCAAAGAATGATGAAGAAAAAAAGATAGAAGGAAACAATTAGTCTAAAGGACTAATGGATCATGTGAACCCCAGTCCCCACAATACATAGACCAGAACTAGATGGTGCCCAGCTATCACTTACTGCCTATCATTCTGAAAGGGATCACAATAGGAGGTCCAGGATAGAATGGGAGAAAAATGTAGACCAAAACTCAAAATCAAAAACAAAGACCAGGTTTACTGGTCTGATAGAGACTGGTGGAACCCCCAAGACAATGACTCTTAGATACTCTTCAAGCCTGGAACTGAACTCACCCCTATGGCTCAATTTCCTGTCAAATGATAGACAAGCCTATAAGGTAAACATTAACACCAGGGAGGTGTGCACTCCTTAGAACAATCAGCTATAAGAGATCTAAAGGGCAGCATTTGCCCAGGGATAAAGGTAGAAGGTGGGAAGGGATAGGACATAATGGTGAAGGGAAATGGTAACACAGGGAGTAAGTGGGAAGAATGCTGTTATATTGTGGGTATTGCAATGAATATCCTAAAACATTGCTCTGTAAACTTTTACCCAAATCATAATTTAAAAGAAATTAAGAATGATATTGGGGTGGCCTAGTTATCCCTAACTTCACTTAACTAATCACCAAAGATAAACCATCCTAAACTACATTACATTTTGGGGCTCAGCATCTCTTACGGTGAGGAAATCCTTGTTTGTTCCATGCAAACAAGAACTGCTAATTCAATGAGCTATGGGGCATTGCTCTGCCCACCCTCAGTGCCTCAGATGCAGTCTGAAATTGCTGGTTTTAGGAGGTGTTAAGAGCATGTGCTCTGGACTTAGATGTGGTTAAAATACTTACTCTGCCATTTAGCAGGCTTTGGATGAGCCATCTCAACCTCTTGAAATCTCCCATATCCTCTTCTCCAAGTTGACTGTATATCTAAGAAACCATTGTCCACCACCTTTTTTATCTTAAGCTGGATTAATTGCTCAGAAGATGGGCCTGCCCATCCGCCTGGTTGCAGCAGTGAACCACAATGACATAATCCACAGGACCATTCAGCAAGGAGACTTCTCTCTGTCCAAGGCTGTCAAGCCGACTTTGGCGTCAGCTATGGACATCCAGGTGGGGCCTGTAGGGGAGGTGTGTAGGTCTTGCCCATGTGTTGTTCAGTGGGGTTAGTCAAGGGCTGAGATCACTGTGGATCCCAGGACCTGCCTTTCTGCCTAGGTGCCCTACAACATGGAGAGGATCTTCTGGCTGCTGTCTGGCTCTGATAGCCAAGAGACAAGAGCCCTCATGGAGCAGTTTGAAAGAACCCAGAGTCTCAGTCTGCCTGAGAAACTGCACAGCAAGGTCAGTCACTTCCCACACACCACAGGGACAGGAAGGGTACAGCTACAAAACTAGACTTTGTGTTTGGAAGTCTTTTCAAGGAAGGATTCACTGTTTCTGGAACACCTGCTATGAGCCAGGCACTCTAAAGGTCACTTTACGTGATTAATCCATTAATTTATTTTTTGAATGAAGAGAGGCAATAGAGAACATTGGTTTAATGTCAGATGGGGCTCAATTTCTAGCCAGTTGTAAGAACATGGGCAAGTTTCTTAAGCTTTGTGCCTCAATTTTCTCATATATAAAACTGGGTTAATAAGAATGCCTACCTCATAGGTTTTTGTGAGATTTAAGTCAAATAATAGATGTGAAGTGCTTTGTATACTGCCTGGCAATAGAGGGCTCTGTACATTAATGAGGAGCTCTGGTAGCATAGTGGCTAAAACACTTGACTGCTAACCAGAAGGCTGGCGGTTCAAACCCACCAGCCACTCCTCGGAAGGAAGGTTGGGCAATCCTACTTCCTTAGTGATACTGCCTCGGAAACCCAAGGAGGGGTCGCTATGAGTCGGGGCCGACTCGACGGCACACAACAACAACAACAACAATGCATTAATGATTTGATTATTATTGTTAATTTTCAATAATAACACCAGGTGGAAGCCACTTTGCCCATCCATGCATAGTCAGAGACCATTGTTCCATTGAACTCTTTTTTTTTCAAGAGGAGAAATTTATTTTATTTCCTCATAGTGATAGAAATCTAGTTGCGAAGTATTGCTTTTATTTTAATGCAATCTGGTGATAGTCACTTATTTTATAACTAAAACCTCCAGTGACCAGGACCTCACTACTTCACACCAGCTCAAATTATTACAAAGTTCTTCATGTAGAACTAGAATTTGCTATGGCTTGCACACTGGTGTGTAGTCTGATTCTGCTTGGAAACTTATTTCATATTTGAGGGAACCCTCATTTGCACAATGAGTTTTCCCATTTCCTTTAACTGCCCCTTGTTGTTGTTAGATGCTGTCGAGTCAGCTCTGACTCATAGTGACCCTCTGTAAACAGAACAAAACACTGCCTGGTTGTGTGCCAGCCTCACAATCCTTGCTATAACTGAGCCCATCATTGGAGCCACCATGACAATCCATCTTGTTGAGGGTCTTCCCCTTTTTTGGTCACCCTCCCCTTTACCAAGCATGGTATCCTTTTCTAGGGAATTATCCCTTCTGACATCATGACCAAAGCAGGTAAGATGAAGTCTGGCCATTCTCGCTTCCAAGGAGCATTCAGGCTGCACTTCTTTCAGGATAGATCAGTTCATTCTTCTTGCAGTCCATGGTATTTTCAGTATTCTTCACCAACCCTGTAATTCAAAGGCATCAATTCTTCTTTAGTCTTCCTTATTCACTGTTCAACATTCACATGTTATGAGGCAATTGAAAACACCATGGCTTGGGTTAGGCACACCTTAGTCTTCAAGGAGACATCTTTGCTCTTTAGCACTTTAAAGTCAAGAAATCAGATGTCATATTGCACTGGGCAAATCTGCTGCAAAAGACTAGTGCCTAAAGCACTTGACTGCTAACCAGAAGGCTGGTGGGTTCCACCAGCCACTCCTCAGAAGGAAGATTGGGCAATCTACTTCCATAGTGATACCACCTTGGAAACTCAAGGAGGAGTAGCTATGAGTTGGATTCAACTCGATGGCAGTGAGTTTGGTTTTTGGTTTTTGTTTCCATTGGTATTGATCGTACATCCAAGTAATATGAAATCTTTGATGACTTCCATCTTTTCTCCATTTATCATGATACTGCTTATTGGGCCAGTTGAGAGGATCTTTATATTCTTTATGTTGAAGGGTAATCCACATTGCAGATGGTAGTCTATGATCTTCATCAGTAAATGCTTCAAATCCTCTTCACTTTCAGCAAGCAAGGTTGTGATGTCTGCATATCACAGGTTGTTAATGACTCCATTCCTGGTGCTGTATTCTTCTTCAGGTAGTCCAGCTTCTCAGCTTATTTGCTTAGCTTACAGAGTGAATAAGTATGGTGAAAGGGCACAACCCTGATGCACACCCTTCCTGATTTTAAACTATACGGTATCCCCTTGTTCTGTCCAAACAACAGCCTCTTGGCCTATGTACAGGTCCCTCATGAGCACAATTAAGTGTCCTGGATAACATTCTTCTCGATGTTATCCATAATTTGTTATGATCCACATAGTCAAATGCTTTTGCATAGGCAATAAAACACAAGTAAACATCTTTCTGGTGTTCTTTGCTTTCTGCCAGGATCCATCTGACATCAACAATGATATCCATCATTCTACATCCACTTCTGAATCTAGCTTGCATTTCTGGAAGTTTCGTGTCAATATACTGCTGCACACATTTTTGAATTATCTTCAGCAAGATTATACTTGCATGTGATATTAATGATATTGTTCAATAATTTTCACATTCTGTGGGATCAACTTTCTTTGGAATGATTACAAATGTGGATCTCTTCCAATCAGTTGGCCAGGTAGCTGTTTTCCAGATTTCTTGGCATAGATAAGTAAGTGCCTCTAGTGCGGCATCTGTTTGTTGAAACATCTCAATGGGTATTCTGTCAGTTCCTGGAGGCTTGTTTTTTTTTTTTTTTTTTGCCAGTTCGTTCAGTGCAGCCTCAACTTCTTCCTTCAGTACTATTGGTTCTTGATCATATGCCACCTCCTGAAATAGGTGAACATTGACCACTTGTTTTTGGTACAGTGACTCTGTGTATTCCGTCCATCTTCTTTTGATGCTTCCTGTATCATTCAATATTTTGCCCATAGAATCTTTCAGTACTGCAACTCGAGGCTTGAAATTTTCCTTCAGTTCTTTCAGCTTGAGAAATGCTAAGTGTGTTCTTCCCTTTTGGTTTTCAAACTCTAGGCCTTTGCACATTTCATTATCATAATTGACTTTGTCTTCTTGAGCTGCTCTTTGAAATCTTGTGTTCAGCTCTTTTATCTTGTCATTTCTTTCACTTGATTTAGCTACTCTCCATTCAGGAGTCTCTTCTGACATCCATTTTGGTCTTTTCTTCCTTTTCTGTCTTTTTTAATGACCTCTTTCTTTCTTGATGGATGATGTTCTTGATGTCATCCCATAATTCGTCTAGTTGTCAGTCATTGGTGTTCAATATGTCAAATCTGTTCTTCAAATGGTTTCTAAATTCAGGTAGAATATACTTAAGGTCATATTTTGGCTTTCTCGGACTTCTTTTAATTGTCTTCAGCTTTGACTTGAACTTGCATATGAGCACTTGTTGGTATGTTCTGCGGTCAGCTCCTGGCCTCATTTTGGCTGAAGATAGTGAGTGTCTCCATCACCTCTTTCTACAAATTTAGTTGATCTTATTACTGTGTATTCCATCTGGTGAGGTCCATGTGGATAGCCACTGTTTATGTTGTTGATAAAGGTATTTGCAATGAATAAGTTGTTGGTTTTGCAAAATTCTATCATGTGATCTCCAGCGTTATTTCTATCACCAGGGCCATATTTTCCACCTACTAGTGATTCTTCTTGTTTCCAGCTTTCACATTCCAATCCCCATTAATAATCAATACCTCTTGATTGCATGTTTGGTCAATTTCAGACTGCAGAAGTTGGTAGAAATCTTCACTTTCCTTGTGTTTGGCTTTGTGGTGTGTAAATTTAAATAATGGTGGTATTAACTGGTCTTCCTTGTAGGTCTATGGATATTATTCTATCACTGACAGCATTGTACTTTAGGATAGATCTTGAAACATTTTTTGTGATGATGAATGCCAAGCTATTCCTCTTCAATATGTCATTCCTGGCATAGTAGGTTATATGATCGTCTGATTTGAAATGGCCAAAGCCAGTCCATTCAGCTTACAAATGCCCAGCCAGAATATTGATCTTTATGCATTCCACTTCATTTTTGACAAGTTCCAATTTTCCTCCACTCATACTTTGTACATTCCACATTCCAATTATTAATGGATATTTGCAGCTGTTTCTTCCTATTTTGAATCATGCCTGTCAACAAATGGGAGGTTCCAAAAGCTTTACTCCATCCACATCATTAAGGTAGACTCTACTTTGCGGAGGTAAATCTTCCCCAGTCATATTTTGAGTGGCTTCCAACCTGAGGGACCCATCTTCTGCAACTGTATCAGACAATGTTTCAGGGCTGTTCATAAAGTTTTCCAGTAATATATCAGACAGTGTTTCACTGCTATTCATAAGGTTTCCCCTGGCCAATTCTCTGAGAATTGGATGGCCTCTTCCTTCTTCCAAATCTATCTTAATCTGGAAACTCCACAGAAACCTGTCCAGCATGGGTGACCCTGCTGGTGTTTGAAATACTGGTGCCATAGCCTTGACCCTCACGGCAACGTGACAAACTGACAGATGAGTGGTGTAACTATCTGTTATATGATTAGACATGGGTTTCTGGGCTCAGCCATATCCACACAGACTGGAGTAGAATTTCTGTCTTCTGCAATCTTTGCTTTTTTTGGATATGACGAAAGATCAACTTATTTGGTCAATGGTTCATTTTGACAGCCAGATTCCATTTCCCCGTGTAAATGAGGTGCTCTATGAAGACCAGCACTGTAACCCCACTCCTTCGTTCTCTCCCTAGCTGTGCACACAGTAGACACTCCATTTGCTGAAATGGCGTAGGATGGAGTGTCTAGCAGACAGGAGAAGTATTAGATGACTTTCAGAGAGTGCATCTGGCTTATGTATTTTATGAGCCTGTGTATCTTGGATCCGGGAACAGTGAGCCATCTCCATCTGCAGGAAAGAAGTTTCTGTTTAAGGAAACCATTCACTCACTTGCCATTCTTTCATTCATGTTGTATATCTACTATGGGCCAGGAACTGTGCTTGGTGCTGAGATACAAAGATAAATGAAATATAATCCTCCTAATGGAGGAGGTAGCTATATAAATTATTTATAACACCAGATGGTCTCTGTTGCAGTTGAGTATATGCAGGATGTTTGACACATCATAAGTATGTGATAAATTTTCTGAGAACGATCAAATAACCCATTCACACAGAGGGAGCACAGGGAAGGAACTCTTCCTCTGCTGGAGGGTAGTAGGGAAGTTTCCTAGAGAAGGTGCTATGTGAGCTGGGAGGGAACTGACAGGGAGGAATTCTCACATCCACCAGAAGCAAAAAAGCCCCAGAAATGCTTGATTGTCTTTAACTTGACTGTTTTGTCAGGTCATTAAATAAAACTATATACTAATTTGCTGATTCATGAGCCAAATCCTACCTAAATTTACTGATCTAAAACTCAAACATATCATTCCCCCAAAACAGAGTGAATCAGCTTAAAACTGGGAAACCAGATGTTTCTTAAGAGGTTTAAAAGCTTCATAGAATTGAAAAATCCACATTTTCTCCAGGCTGAACCTGAACCAAACTAATCATATATTTCAGTTCAGTCTGTGGCATATGTCTGACTGAATATATAGTGGGTTTTCAGTCACCTTTCTCCAGTTCCCACCCCCAGCCTGGCTCCCACCTCACTGACCCTGGGACCTCTCAGCTTTCAGAGGCCATGACGTCTGAGTCAGTGTCTGATGAGGCCATCACCCAGACCATGGCCCGATGCTGTGAAGAGAACCAGTATTTGCTGTGCCCTCACTCGGCTGTGGCCGTGAGCTATCATTACCAGCAGACGGACAGGCAGCAGCAGCCCAGGTATGGCCATGGGACCCTGGGTCACTAGGGGACTCTGACTTTTAGGAACCTTTCTCTTCCCCAACCCGAAGAGACATGGATGTGAACAAATGATGTTAATATGCTATAGTGAGGTCTGTGTAGAACTGTACTCTGAGAAGTGTGGTCCCAGAAGAGGGCTCAAGACAGATTCCTCACGAATAGCCACTGCGAGAAAGGAGGAGCACTTTCCCAGGCAGAATTATTGTTGCTGTTGAGTCGACCCCACCAGTTTGCCATTGAGTCAACTCCAACTCATAGCAATCCCATGTATATCAGAAACTGTTTTCCATAGGATTTTCAATGGCTGATTTTTTGGAAGTAGATCACTAGGCCTTTCTTCTGAGATGCCTTTTGGTGGACTTGAGCTTCCAAACTTCAGTTAACAGTATAGTGTGTTAAATATTTACACCACCCTGGAACTCTTAAGTTCAAGGTAGCAATCATCTGTCTTTCTCCCCTCCGTGTCTTGCCTTACCCTTAACGTTTCCTTGTTCCTCCTTCTCTTCCCTCTTCCACCTTCCTTCCACCACCCATCCAGCAGTACACCCAGGTGCTGCTTGGCCCCTGCCTCTGCAGCCAAGTTTCCAGAAGCTGTCCTGGCAGCCCAACTGACCCTGGACACTCCCACAGAGATCCTAGCCCTACAGCGTAAGGAGACCCGCTGCACCCCAATGAGGAGAGGTGACGACTGGACACTGATGCTTCGGGGCACCATTGAGGACCTAAGCCGGCAGTGGAGGCACCGTGCCCTGAACTCTTCAGAATAGCCAGGCTAGAAGTGACTTCTGATCCCAGGAAGGTGCACCCTCTTCCCTGCCTATGCACCTATTCCACATTGAGAGTTAGTGTAGGAGGGTCTCAGGAGGCTATGTAACTAGGTCTGGAGCTAGTTGGTTTTGCCATGAGCTATAACTGTGGCAGTGTTGTGTCTGGTGCCTGGTCACCAAGGAGGCTGGTGAAGGGGGTGTGGATGATGCATGGATGTGTACCCCGACTGCTGGACAGTGCAGGTGCATCACTACTGGATATGAAAATGCCTGGTACAGTAGATGAAGAGCCTTGTGCATAGAGTTGACCTCGGCTCCAGGGGTTTAGAAACCCAGACTCCAAACCTGTAAAGCAGAGGCTGCTCACTGCCTTAAACTAGGCCTGGGGCTCACAGTCTCTGTGCCTTAATTCATCTGGGCCCACACCAAATGCAAACGCCTCAACCCATCTTGTTAGAGGCTTCCAGCATGTTCCATTGTTGAGAATCCCTGGAAGAAAGTGCTGTTCAGTGTGAAGGTGGCTCTGCATGTCCTATGGGCAAATTTCTTCTCACCTATCCCCTGCCCAGAAGTCTCATCCTTGTGGACCTTAAAAATATGCCCTTTCATATGTGCTGTAAGAATATCCGTACATTATAGAGTTAACAGCACAAAGTTAAGATAATTTCTTAGCCACAACCAAGCACTGAGGGAATGAGTCACTGGACTCAACCATAGTCACTTGGGACTATGGTTGTGGGGGACATGAAGCTCAAATGGCATAGCATACTACACAAAAACATTGTTCTACATCCTTACATGTAGAGTAGTGATTGGGGTCTTAAAAGCTTGTGAGCAGCCGTCTAACATGCAACAATTGTTCTTTCCTTGTCCAGAGCAAAGAGGAATGAAAAAAACCAAAGATACATGGAAACCATTAGTCCAAGGGACTAGTCAACCATGCACACTTCAGCCTACATGGCCGTGAGACCAAAAGAACTAGATGTCAACCACTTGGAAAGGGATCAAAATAGGAGATCCTGGATAGAGTGGGAAAAAATGTGGAACAAAACTCAAAACTATAAAAAAAGACCAGGCTTACTGATCTGATAGAAACTAGTAAAACCCCAAGACTATGGCCCTAGAGCCTGGAGTTGAACTCACTCCTGTGGCTTCCATCCTAATAATATACAGGCATCTAAGGTGAACATATACATCAGGGATGTACACTCCTTAGAAGAATCAACCATGGGAGATCAGAAGAGCAGTATTTGCACAGGGAGATAGCTCAGAGGGCAGGAATGCATAGGAAAGAAGGATGTAAGGAAAAGGTAACCACAGGGAGGAAGTTGGAAAAGCTGTTACATTATGGGGATTACAATTAATGTCATGAAACAAAATGTGTATGAACTGTTGTATGGAAATGAATTTCCTCTGTAAACTTTCTCTCAAATCACAATAATATGTGTATCTACCGTTTTTTGAAATGATTGTAAGGAAGTGTGGTGGTTATGTTTGTGTGTCAACTTGGCTGGACCTGGTTCAATGGCTGGGCAGCTGGTGGTAGTTATTACCTATGATGAGACTAGCAGTCAACTCCATGGTGGGATCTACCACAAGCAGCTGAGTAGCTGCTTTGGGTATGTAGTCTACTTCCCGTATATAAGAAGCAGCTTTGGGAATGGTCTCTAGCTTATGGCATGCTTGGACCCTGTATGGAGCCGTGTCGTTATTCACCAGTCTGCCATGCTCTGCCAACCTTGAGACTTACAATGGACTTAAATTAATGGCCTGCTGTGTGCTTTGGTAACATCGGGACTGTGCCTTTTTACTTGTCAACCTTGGGCTTGGCAGTTTCAGCAGCCAGCAGCTGTCTGAGTGAAGAAACGTCTCTAGTCCAGTGGACCAGGATCAGGAGGCAGAGCTGGACCCCAAGGTTGAGGGGCTTTCACCCAGCCCCTAGAGCCTGGCACTTTGAACTTGGACTTCTTGTTGTTGTGTTGTTATGTGCCACTTTGAACTTGGACTTGTTATTGTGTTGTTATGTGCCGTTGAGTCAGACCTTACTTATAGCGAACCCTCCTTGGGTTTCTGAGGCGGTATCACTACAGAAGTACATTGCCCAACCTTCCTTCCGAGGAGTGGCTGGTGGGTTTGAACTGCGAGCCTTCTGGTTAGCAGTCAAGTGCCTTAGGCACTATGTTACCAGAGCTCCTTAAACTTGGACTGAAAGCCTCCAAACTGTAAGAATAAACTCCTGTTTAAGCCATGCCATTTGTGGTATATTCTTGTCAGAGTGTTACTAGGTAACCAGAACAGGAAGACTAGTCTTAACTTATACATATGGTTTTGTTGCTTTCCTGTGTGTACTGGGACTGTTGCCAAGGATCAGACCACCTGACTTGCCTTCAAGAATGGGGAAGAAGACCCTGGAGGGGTGGGCACCATGGTGGTCTTAAGTGGACTAGACTGACTAAGTCAGTTTTTGTCTTTAGAGAGAGTAAGGACATTTCTTAAACTAAGCTTAGGTCTGAATGACCTTAAACTCCAATATACCAAAACCAATCAACCAAACTCATTGGCATTGAGACAATTACAACTCAGAGTGACCCTATAGGACAGAGAACTGCCCCATAGGGTTTCAAAGGTGGTACATCTTTACAGACAGAAGCAGATTGCTTCATCTTCTCCCACAGAGCACCATGGTGGGTTCAAACTGCTGACCTTTTGGAATATTTCAGTATAGGGGACTTGAATTCATTTTTCTGGACTTCTAATGCAGACTGAATTAATTTAATCTTACTGTGGTTCTGCAGTACGCATCTGTTGTTTTTACCACCCACTTTTCTGGTGACAATGCCTTGTTATTTTTCTGCTGGGAAGCCTCCATATCACCCCTAGGATGTGGGATCTCTTGGAATTGATGACCTCTCCCCAGACCTGGTGCATAGCTGAGCTGCACCAGTCAGAGCTATGACAGTCGATTCTGGGATGGGCACGTAATCCAGTTGAGGTCAACGAGACTTGTGTTTTGAGATACTAAGAACGAGGCATTATCTGGCTTCTTCAACTACTGAGTTGTTAGGATATAAGCCTGGAGCTGCTAGAGGCCATCTTACTTTGATGCAGAAAGAGTCTAAGGATGAAGCCAGCATAAATGGAAGCAGAGCTAAGAGATGATAAGTAAGAGTGGAGGCCAGACTTCCACCTTGAACCACTCTCCTTGCTTATACTGGCTGGGTTCCTGTCAGTAGACCTGGAGGAGATCAGACTGACCCCTTAATTTAGCGCATTGGTTTTAGATGTGTACGTTGCTTTGATACTTCTAAATAGATGTTAATATGACTCTCACAATAGACTCTTATAGATGGGTGAGGTAACAATGACATCCCCATGAGGTAGAATCATAACAAGTGAGAGGAGTTAGGGGCAGGATTTGGCCTAGAGTGAGAGGGACATTTGAACCCTGAGGTCTGTCTAATAACAGAATGGAGACTGGCAGTGAGCTCCCCAACCTTGAAAGAGCTGAACATTGGACAGGAATCCCGATCAGTGGATGTTTGGAGTGGGCATCTCCATAGTTCATTTCGACACCAAGATGCTGTGAAGGAGGCAATATTCACTGACAGAATGCTCTACTGGGGGACAATGTAAGACACACTCAAAACACAAATAGGTACAAGAAGGATGTAGACAAATGTTTAAATCACAGCTCTACCAGACGTCATTAAGAGAGATTAACATAGGTGCACAGTATTCATATATTCACATAACATATTTTTACTGAGTTTTAATGACATTTCAGACATTGAGCTGGATGCTGGGGCTACAAAGGAAAGAAGACAGGCAGCCCCTCCCCTGGAGCTTAGTGTCTAGTGGAGCCAACGGACATTAAGTAAATGATCACACAAATAAATATTGCAGTTTGTACTTAAAAGAGCAACTAAGAGGAGAACTTGGTTTAGACTGTGGAGAGGGAGAGTGGGTTCATTTAAGCCAAGACCTAGAAATGAGCAAGAGGTGGCCAGGCAAAGAAGACCACCTTTGGAGGACCTGGCAACTGAAAGGAACAGGGAGCATAGAGACCCTGGGCATATCGAAAGAAGAATAAGAGTAAACTAAATAAGAAAGGTGGGCAGTGTGTCAGGAGATGGAAGAGGGGGCTGTGGAGAAGGGGGCCAGGCTAAAAAATCTGCTGGGCCTGTTAGTAAAGACTAACCCACTCTCCAGGGTAAAGTCTTTGGATTTCATTTACAGCAGTGGAAAGCCAGTGACAGGATCGGATCTGTGTGGAAGGCAGTCACGTGCTCCAGAACCTAGTCATTTGTCCCCCCTCCAGAGGCTGTTTTATGGTTCTCCTTGCTGGAAGTTATCTCCTCATCTCTAAGCTGCTTGAGGATAGAAACCATTGTTTAGCACAATGGAACTTTTTGGACTTGCACCACTATTGGTTAACTTTTTAAACTATGTTCTCCCAATATATATCTACTAAATTATCCATAAATTCTACAGACCATATGCTAAAATAAGGAGCTCTGGTGGTTTAATGGTTAAGGCATTTGGCTGCTAACCAAAAGGTCGGTGGTTAGAACCCACCAGCCACACCATGGAAGAAAGATAAGACAGTCTGCTTCTGTAAAAGATTTACAGCCTTGGAAACCCAGTGGAGGTCTCTATGAGTCAGAATCAACTCAATAGCAGTGAGTTTGGTTTGGTTTTTATGCTAAACTAGGAATGAAGAATGATAATAAAACATACATTTATCCTTCCCATGCTACAGTGACTACCCTGGTCAAACACAATACCCAGTGCATTCAGTAACTGGTTAGTAAATGAGGTGCCACTCTCCCAGAGGTTGCAGATGGGCCTGTTACTGGGCAGGGATTCTCAGTGTGACACAAAATCCACGTTCCCTAAGCCAGACCTGCAGAGGCAGATCTCTGAGGATGATGGGGTGGAATCAGCTATTCTTACAAATTCCCTAAGGAAGCATGTGACTGAAGCTCGGGAAACCCTAGCCA